CCAAAGCATAAATACCTTAAAAGTAATGGTGAATTAGGCATAGGCTCTTGAAAACTGTGTTCGGCCACCTTAAAGTAGTGTTTGTAAACTGGAGATTGCTTATATATTGTTAAAAATTTTCAGCCAAATACTTCAGAAATGACATAATTGCAGTGTAGATTACAATAGGTACTCTTACTATAATCAAAACCACAGTGAAAGTTTGGTTTTACCAATAATTGCATTTTCTAAGACTGTTGTCTGGAAAAATATAGTAGTTACCCTATTGTACAAGATATAATTTCTGAATGGAATAGTAAACTTAGAAATGGGTAATAACGCAAAGTATTGCATTTTTTCTTTACTTTAAAATATTTTTTACATTTAATATAACAAAATATCAAATATTGATAGTTTCTTTTCTAGTTTGTCTATACTAGGGTACGATATCAATGTTATGAACATAAATTAAAATAATATTATACAAAACAATTTTGCGATATATAAACAATAGCCTCCATTTGGTGCAAAAATATGCTTGGATATTTTTCTGTGGACAGTTTTTGTTTCAAGAAGCAAACAGTCTCCAAGAGCGAAGCTTGATGAAAACTGTGAGCTTTGAAGAACAGGTGATGTTCAAGGACAAAACACTCTGGCAGAGCATATTTTTAAAGTCAAATGGAGGCTATTGTGTTTATTAACCTTCAAATATGTATCACAATCTGCAGGATCTTTTGAAAATAAGGGACAATCACTTGCCTTATGGATATTCCCCTCTTTTAGCTGGGGTATATATTCACTGACCTGATGCATTGAGACCAATATTAGCGTGCGAGTGTAAATATTTGGTGGATTATAATCAAAGTTATATATTGCCTGAATATTCGGTTGTATTTTTTATGCTGCTTGTATGGCAAATTTTACTTCTCATGAACTTAGTAACTTGGTTTATTACGATAGAAAATGAAGACTTGGACATTGTGTTTCAATAATTTTATTATATTTGTTACACGGCCATTATCAAATGAAGCCCGAGACCCTTTCAACAAAGGCGTGCCCTGGGTGCTTGTGCCACCATTTTGAAAAAAATGCTGAGGACAACATGTTAAAGAGGCTAGCTCAATCACTCTCAATACAGGTATTTCTATTGATGGCTTGAGGTGAAGAAAGATTTTCACAACTTGAAACACTGTCTGATCCAAAGAGTTCAAATTTAATGGCTACTTTTAATTAGCAAATCTTAGGATCATTTTGTACAGATCCTCTTGCATTCCTGTCCTCGGGTACTGACCTGTTGATTCAGTTTTGACAGGAAAACATGTCCATAAGTTAAGACGTTATAATAATTATTATTCTTCAAATCTTCTTCTTTGCAATGAGCAATGTACGTATCAGAATTCACTTGTTGATGTTAAATATAAAAGCGGTTATGAAAACAAAAATTGTGAAGAGAGAAGGGTATCTCTGAGTGAGATAGAAATGAAATCTTTCATGTTGAGAACATGAGGCCATTCCCAGTAGGCCAAGGAAAGCAGAGGACGTCTTTACATAGTACGTAGGTGAGATGATTGACTGACTCCCCAGAAAATAATGCAGTGAGGTTGGAAAAACTTAAACACATCTGCCAGTATTGATCATCAGTTTGTGTCTGAGGTCAGGACAGGTCTGTAGGGATATTTATGGACACAGATGTGCTTGGTTGTCTGTGCAAGCCTTTCTTGGACAGTTTCTGTTACTTGCATCTCTAAAGTTATCTCTTTAAAAACTTCACTTACGGAAACCTGTAATCAAATGAGACACAACACTCAGCTTAGTAAAAGCTTTGTTCCTACATTGCTATCAAAGAAAAAACAATATAACATTTGACCTGAGTCACAAAAGACCTAAATGATTTGCATTTTCTTTGGTTTTGCACTACTACCCTAAGTGATTGGCTTAAACTACTCGCACTACTTTCTCAACCAATCAGAAGAAAAGCCAAAACCAATCATGACTGGTTTGCACATTTTCTTCCCATGCTTTGTGTCAACCACATGTATTTGCTTTGAGTTTTGATTCTTTTGGTTCACTGGATTGTCTGTGTCCTTACATTGTGTTTACTTCGGTTTGGGTTTTAGGTCAATTGATTGAAAACTGCTCAAATCTTGTGTTGATTCAGAGGTTTCCAGTTGTCTGAGACAAGTAGATTTTCCTGCTAGCCAAGTAACTTTTCATTCTCACTTGCCTGATGTCTGCCAACTAAATCAAAAGAAAGTTAGCCTCTTCCAGGCGTTCAGTTAGTTGGAGCACAGCACAGCATGCGAAAAAATAAAAAAAGTGCTTTAATTTTTTATTTTTTCATGGGCTGTTTTTGGCACTGACCACAACTAACTGAACGCCTGGAAGAGGCTAAGTTAACTAGGTCTTGCCCAAGAACAAAATTTGAAAGCTGCTGATCCAAAGGGCAGCTGGAATTCAAGTTTATTTTCTCAAGCCCTGTGATTGGTTAATAGTCTTGGCTTTAGCACACAGTGTAGAGACCTAGCCAGGATATTCATAAGCTACCGATTCCATGGCAAAACAAAAACAGCATGTTTGCTATATTAGTTAAACTACTTTCATCTAATTAATTACACAGTGTTTTCTTATCCTTATACCTAACTAAAGACAGACCTTTGCAAATAAAGGCAATGATCCCAAAAATGTAATTTGGACAGTCCTTCTATAATATCTAATCACAGACATCAACCTCATTCCCAGGGTCTCTCATCTTTCTGCCTGAAGACCTGCCAGATCCTGGGAATGAGGTTGTCACCGATGTGGCAAAAATGGGACTTTGAAATCAAACCTCAGTAAATCCTAGTGTGTGGAAAAGTGTTAAACTTGGTTTGTTGTCGCAACCAATCTTTGCTACATATTTTTGTACGCCCAAGTTGGTGACACCTAGGATCCAGAAAAGAGGAAATAGACATTATGTTATATAATTAATAACTGTCTACCTTGGGGAGGTACGGTGGCCTAATGGTTAGTGCTCCGGACTCCAGATGGAGTTAGAGCCCTGGCCATCCATGGGGTCCTTGCATTGTGCTCTTGGGCAAGACACGTAATTCTGACCACAGTGCCTCTCTCCTCCCAGGTGCACAAATGGGTACTGGAGGAGGGGTTACCCTGTGATAGACTAGCATCTCTTCCAAGTAGGAGTTGAAATACTCCTAGTTGCTTAATGCTATAGACAACAGTATAAACTCTGGCAGTATGAGCTACTGGCCCAATGCAGACTTTACATTTAAGTGGACCGGTTAAGAAGGGTGTTGAAGTCAGTTCACGAATGGTGTGAGCCAGCCATATCAGTGAAATTTAGGGAAACTGTTTAAACTGTGTTAGACAAGTAGAGGTTGAATTGTCAAGTGAAGATTAAAACTGTTTTTGCAAAGCATTTTTAGGCTCTTTAAAGGGTCACTAACAATAATATTATGCTTAACTTAAGCATGGTTTTTTTGTCATACCATAATTCATCATGGTCAGTAAAGCTTCTCTTCCGAGGCCACACCTTCTACAAGATGGCTCTGTTAAGGGATAAGGTAAATTTGGGTTATACTAATCACATTAGTATTGAAAATGGAGTGATTGACATTTGCACAGTAAACAAGTGCAGTTTTTGGGATGGAATCGAATTTCAAATAAAGCTGTCTCAGCTTCTGGACAGGTATTCTCTTTGACTGCCATTACTTGTGAGGAGGAGCATTACCTGATGATCCAAGTAACAGCTGCCAAAGAGACTACCACTAGGTTTCTCATGGTGTTATGTTGCATACAGCGTAATGTAAATGATAAAGACAGTGGGAGTGACAGAAAGTAGATACAGATATCTTATTTGACCTAAATTAAATTCAACCTCTGCAAAACCAACAGTTTTAAGAGTTAAAATCCTAGATTTTGTGAGCTGCAGTCAGAAAAAAAATTAATTAAAAAAAAGTACCAAAAAGAAGACCCAGGAGAAAATTTGGCTAGTTAAAATATAATTTGTTGTGTTGACCAGTAAAATCAGACATATTATTATCCAAAAGGCTAATGAGTCAAAAAGTTTGCCTTAATGCAGTGCACTGAGTTGAATTCAAAACGATCAGTTTTTCTCGATTATTTGTACCTGCTATCATGATTTCAATCTCTGCAGTATCCTGCTGACAGTCATCAAAGAACAAATTGACATCACCTGCCATGCATTCTTCAAATAAAAATAGAATTGCATACATTAAGTTTATTTATATTAACCCCTTGCAGTGCCTGGCCATTGTGCACGTTGTGTGCCAAACCATTTTCACTGAAAATGGTTTCCTAGTAAAAACCTTCATATGCCATATTAAGATTTTTCACATAAAAAATTTGGACAGGTAAACATTTTCCATGAGGCCATAAAAGTGTCTCTTCAATGCAGTTAATTTCACTGAGGTTGATATAATTTGATATCCATATGATGCCACAGCAATGGGACGCAGAAGTCTGTCAAGAAACCTCCCACGAGTCTCAGATGCTGATAACAGTTGTTTCCAGTGTGCCAGGAGTTTGATTAAATCCCTTAAAATTCTGACCTACCCAGTATGTCACATAAGTACTTAAAGGCACCTGAGGGACAAAAATTATGACAAACTGAGTATGTCATGTAGGCAACACTCAAGGGGTTCAACTGTGTTTCTAATACATTAATTAAATACCAGGCACCCTTATAGAGTTTTTAAGATCATAATGATCGTTGATTGAAATCGTTAAGATTATAATGATTGTTGATTGAAAGTTCGCAAACCTATTTCTGCCATCTCAGTCTGCAGCCATTTGTTTTTGTCCAAAATGATAAACGTACACTCTGGAAAACAAGGGCGTGAGGAAACAATTCACATTGGACTGGATCAGGTTAGATGGAAGGAGATTATTTTAGGATTAGCATAAGGATAAATATCAAGTCCCTTGTCACTCTTGTAAGCCACCACACCTAATGGAGCTCTCTTGATCTTTAGCCTTTAATACCAGTCGAATCTCTCTACAATAGCCACCTTGGGGACTGATGAAAGTGGCCGCTATAGAGAGGTGGCTGTTATGGGGAGGTAGGGATGTAAACATGACACTTGTTTTTTCCAGGGTACAACATTTTATATTTTATAAAAAAATGCTTACTGTAGCATAGAAGTACCTAACACAATCAAAATATATCAATAAAAAAAGAAACCAAACAGAAACAGAGTTGCCAACCATGAGCTGTACGGATCAAGTTTTGTGACCTTCTACAATATAACATAGGGTTTGGTAAACACCATTTGTCAGTAATTGATTGACTGGCCGTCGTGGAGAGGTTGTTTTGGTAGTTTAATGGTACGTTCCTTTGTGGTGATCTGGATCAGGATCAGTAATCCAAGATCTGTCTGGATCACGGTGCATCAAAGGAACCGATGAATCCACTCTGGTCATGGATTCATTGGTTCCTTTGATGCACCATGATCTAGACAGATCTTCACTAGATCACTGATCGTAATCCAGATCACCCCAAAGGAACGCACCCTTAAACCTGCTTTAGTGACTGCTGCCGTTGTGGAGAGGTTAAAAGAAGAGTGAATTCTGTATGGACTGTCTGCCAGGATGAAAAAAGTGGCTGTTATAGAAAGGTGGCCATTATATTATAGTGGAGGTTCGACTGTACCAGGTACGTCACCACTCAGATGGCTGACCAAGCTTGAAGTCAAAAGCTACAAGTGGTGGCCCATTTTTATCAGGGTAGTAGTTACTGTTGGTAGATCCAGGGCAAATGTGAAAATCATGTTTCCTATGGAGAAAAAAGGCATGCATGGGCAGTTTTTGCCTGTGCTTGAGTGCTCACTCACTTGAAGAAACCCTAGGGGATGATAAGGGCTACCTAAAGTCTAAGTATTTGAAAATGGGTTACATTTGCATTATTTAATTATTAGTTTCCGGTTAGGTTACAGAATAGATCATGTTTCGTTTTAGCCTTGAGAAGTTTTGGGCAGTGTTACTTTCCCCATCTGGCCCTGTGCAGCTCATATGACAGTCAGAAATACAACTTGGTTCTGGTCATGGTTCAAATCCCACGGAGGTCATATTAAGATAACTAACTATTAATAGCAGTTTCTCAACTTCCCCTTAAAAATATCATATCTATCAAATCATCGGATCCAGCCTGATTTTTGGCATCTCCAAAAGTATAAAAAAGTTCGGAAATATCTTTTAAGACAATAAAAGTTACTATTTTCATCGTGGAACCAGCTTTGTTGCATTTCATATTCTTGGTCCAGTGTAAGTCTTTCAGATGCTGTTTGTTCCAGCAGTTCAGGTGACTGCATCCAGTCATGATATCTAAAGACATTATACATGTTCAAAATGGTAAATATTATACAAATGTATGCTTTGTTCCTGACCATTAAAATTATGCATGCAAGCTTCTGAGGGGAGGTGGGTGGGGGTGGAAGGTAATTCTGAGGGCAAATTTTTGAACCTGAGCTTATTTATTTATAGAATTTCAAGATTTGTACGTAGAGGTTATATTAAATACCCATAGGACAAATTAAATAGTACTATATTTAATAACTAATAATTTAAACGGTTGTGTTCCTGAAACTCTGTAGAAAAGCAAGAAAAGTGTTTTTTTAAATTATTTTCTGGATTAATAACTACTGTTTTGTAGCTTACAATTATGCTTTTAATATTAAATCGCTTATCAATTATTAGACTTTAAGCTTAAATTATTCCATTTCACAGAGAAATCTGGAAATTAGTTTCTTCTTTTCTTCTTTTTCTCGTACTCTCAAGTAAAATTTTAAATTTTGTGTATAGTAGGTCCACATCAACACTTCGGCTGCCTACCCGCTTTCAACCTTCTTATCAAATAAAGTTTACCTTACCTTACCTCACCTTACCCTTACCTTGGTACGTGTTCTTTCTTGTAGGGAACTAAAACAATCCTTTCTCCTGCTAATACTGTTTCACTGTTTACTTTCATATCTGACTGTGACCACAACACGTACGCTTACATGAAGTACAGTAAATACCTCAGCGGTCGTACTTAGTCGCGCCCAGTCTCCATTCCTTCAGTCAAAGTCACGCACCGGAAGTATGTCTTGTGACTAGTGTCGTAACCTCTAAGTCGTAACCTCACAAGCGGCCAAACAACTTTACCACTCGCCTTTTTAGCAAATATTTTTTTTCAAGTGAACATGGTTGCTGTCACCGAAACAGGTTCTCTCTACTCTTCTACAGTGAGTATATCGACTTAATGAATTATTAGATAGGCGAAACATTCCCTCGTTCCCGGATTGGTTCGATGTTCTAAAGAGACGTTCCTTGTCTTGTTCGTCCTAATTTGCTAAGGAAATGACATGCTATCTTAAAGAAATGTTTCGTTTTCAATTTAAAACTTCTTCAGTTCAGTAGATCCTTTATCACACCCGGTTTTAAATGAAAATTGCAAACGAAAATTTAATATGAACGGGCTGAGATCAAGCTATAAAATCTTTTCCGCGCGTTACGCCTTCGAGAAAGGCCGCTATAAAACTTCTCCACGGGAGCAGAATAGTATATGTTTCATGTAAACGTATTGATCAATCGTTTTATTTTCTCCTGTCTCAAATCAGGTTGCTTTCATATATGTTTTCAATCTGATTATTGGCGTTGGAGCCCTGACTATGCCCAAGGCTTTTTCAAATGCCGGTTGGATGGTTGCAATTGTCCTCACTGGGGTTTTGTGTTTCATGAGGTTAGTTCGTGATCGTGGACCAGCAGTGTTTTTAACAGTGTTTTTGGCGTTCTTCTACTCTATACGAATGCCCTTCTACTTAGTAGGTGTCCCCAATTAGTAGAGGGTTTGACTCTCGGCTATTTTTAATCACGTTAATGAAGTTGTTGTTGCTGTTGGTGTTGTATACCCTTAAACAGACAAGGATACTTATTGTCTAACGTTAACAACAATCAAGGTACAGTGGCGGATCAATACCTTGAGCTATGGGGAGGGCCCGGTTTTGTTTTGATTGCCCCGCTGGCTATTTTTCCTTCTGTGATTTTTTCTTTTTTCACCCAAAATAAGGTGCCCGGGCCCCTCCCCTAGATCCGCCACTGAGATCATATGACGCTCATGCGTTTGATAATAGGTTTTTTCACCATAAACTTTCCCACATAAGAACATTGGTATTATCTAACATACAGTACATTAGTATAAATCTACTAGACNCACTGGCTTTTTCTTCTCTTCAAGCTTAATTCATCTCTTCTTTATATCTCGTAAATGTAGTTGGAGTACGACTGTTCTACATCTGTACTGCTCTCTACCTGTATGGTGACTTGGCAATTTATGCAGCTGCTGTTCCAAAGTCCCTCACACAAGTTGCATGGTAAGATTATAGTACTTTAAAACATCTAGGGTTCCTGTTGATCACTTGTTTCTTTTATTTTATGGGTCAGACAGTAGTAACCCTCCAACTGTCCTCACGTTTCTCTCTTCGCCGAGAACTGCAAAATGGCAGAGGAAACCTTTGCCTATATGGCTGGCAGGATTTTGCAAGCAAATGAGAGTAGCTTTTGTTTAGGCTACAAAGCCCACAAAGGAGAAACAACAAGGGGATCTTTGCCCCCCTTTTCCTCATGGCTTTACATATTACCTCAGTCATTAGAGGCTCTGCCACCAAAACAAAGCACTTGTACATGAAACCCCGCCAGCTGGTAACTTGCAATGGTCTGCCACCCTATCAAAGGGAAGTAGCAATACAAGCTAGTCATTGTATAGGCCATCCATAACACTTGTCAGCAACCCTTAAGGCTTACGTATTTATTTATTTTTTCTTAGTGGATCTTTGAGTGGAAATGATTCTTCCAGTTCCTTCGATACCACTGAACCCTGTTGGAACTCTCTTACTCAAATCAGTGTCTACAGAATCTTTCTGGTAAGTGTTTTGGTTCTCCAAAAGAGATCCAAGATCGTTCATATGGAAATCTTTGATTCTTGTCAAATCAGAGGATCTTGGCATATGTCTTGTTGCTTAACAACCAGCCGTTTCCCTCAGGGATGTTGCTACGTCACATGACGTATCCTGTTGACGTCAATATGACGTAAAGCTTTTGGAGAGCTTGTGTTGTTTTTCATTAAACAGTAAGTTGTTAATCAGAAACTCCTCAGGGACTCCTCAGGCACATAATAC